CGCACAAGGTTATATGGCAAAGGGGATCTTCAGTGTCTGCGATATGTGATGGATACGTGAGGTACGTTGATACCTATTACCTTGTAAGGTAATGCATTGTCGTTTTTGACGGATATAGCAATTCAGAAAACAGCACGAAGATGGCAGACCAAGAAAGACGCTACAGATTGAAAAAGTCAGTACCGTAGCAGTGGCGGTCCCAGGATTTAATTTCCGGGGGGGCCTCCGGTGGTTAACCCTCCCCCCCCCCCGGAAAAAAATGTGGAATTTAAAGCACAATAACGTATTTTTATATGCATATGAGCTCTAAAATATCTTCAAGCTAATAGTATTTGAGTTAGCTTATAAAATATTTCAGAGAGAATATATACCTCTCCCCCCCAAGGGACCGCCACTGGTCAGTAGATATTCATTTACTATATTATACTTATATTCATCACCGAAATTATAGTAACCAGGAACAGTTAATCCCTTAACCAAGTTTTTTACAAATGTACCAAGGATTATAACAGTGCCAGATGTATAATTTGTGCATGCGAGAAAATGTCCAATAATTGTTCTCTGTTATGCCAGAACCGCTAAGGGAACTTTTTACATGAAATGCCCATTCTGACGAATGAGGAAGATGAAGAATATACAGGCCTACACCGAATTCTCACTTCGATAGCCAAAATTGAGTCTAATCAACAAGAATTGAATGATGGAGATGTCCTAGGTGGTGGTTTTCAGTTCCAGATGGCACCAGTTTTTGGGACAGAAGTCGGACCCTCTCGTCCCAAGTGAGCCAGACCATGAACAATAATATTAAGTCTTGGTTTCGGTTATTGTTATAAATAAACCTGGACAAATATAGCTACAAACATAATCTTTTAAATTTTTAGTGTAATAATTATGCCAAAATTACTTGTTTCCATGACAAAATATACATAACTTATTTAAATTTATATAAACTATTTTTAACACAATATATACGATTGATATATTATATTATATAGGTTAGTGTTCAAAAACCTGTTTTCTATCCTGATTGATGTAAAACAACAACAGGCTAATGGATTATATAAACTTATTTGACAAAAAACGTGTGAAAAATCAATTTATTTAAGAAATTTTATATTATTTTGAAAATATCTTTAAATGAATATGACCATTCTTGTAGAGAATTTCATCATCTTTCTTTTTATAATTTAAATTTTTTCTGTACGATGCACGGTTTTCAGTGTAGAAGTAAAAAACTAAAAAATGGGGTCTTTCCCCCCCTCCCCCCGCTGAAGCAGCAGGGTCAGGGGCGGGGACTTTTGGTATTTTTATCTTCTAACTACCCCGAACACATTCCCGCAGAAAAAAATTTCCCCCTCTCCATGTCCTCTACACCCCCCTTTTGAGCATTTATTGACTGGACTACCTGTAGTACAGTCAAAACTCGGTTTCTTGCCAATAAAACGTGATTGTGACAGATAGTACATATTCTTATAGATTCAATGTAAAGCCAGTGTAAGTATGGAGTTTAAACCCTTTTATAAGGGTGAGGTGGTAATCCTGACCTTAAATACCCCCGCCGCAGCAAACATGCAGACTTAGCGAATTTCCATTTGCCTGATTGGATTTAAACTAAAATGTCTCCTTAAAAATATCACATTTATTCCCTATTTAAACATAATTAGTTTAATGAGTACTTAGGTTTGCTGCAACAGAGAGGGTAAACAGTTTTTTTATGTAGAATATTAAAAGTTACTGTGGTTTAGTAAGAAATTAATGTATTTTCCAACTTTTATCAAAATATGTTCATAAACAAGCAAACTACAACAGTTGACTTATTCTCCATAAGAATAACATGGGAATTTTAAAATTACAATTTTTTTGAATTTTCTCCGTAACAATTAGGCGCATAATAATGCTTCAATATACTGATTTATTTGTTTTTTTTAAGCTCTACAAAATGGTTTAAAAAGAAATTGCGAAATTTTGTGTTTTTAGGGTCAAAAATGGGAAAAACCTATTTTTACCCCATAAAACCCCCCATAAACCCCCGTTCCCATAGTCCGATCATGCTGGTTCGCGAACTCATTCAAGTTTATCCCACCTTACACCTTCAAACCAAATTTTATCAAAATCGGACAAAAATTACTCAAGTTATCGTGCGGATGGACACACACATATATATTTATATATAAATTTGAACGAATGGTGTTTTTGGCCTCTGGGGACATCAAAATGAAAAAGTAAATCGGTCCCGGGCATAGGTCTTACCATGAGACCTACGGTAATAGCTACTTCCCTATAGGGAAATTCGCTAAAAGGTTGGTAGGTACTTTAATCGAATTGCTCCAAATAAATGTCGAGTGGAAGTCCCTACTGCAGGCACTGCCAGATAATGTATAACGTTTACATGACACTACGTTTTATATGCGGTTACGTTTTCGGTGATTTATATGCGCCAGTATCATGCCTGATCTAGCATTGTGTTACTAGGTAAATCATAGATGAAAAAAGAAAATACCAGTTGATTCCAATGTTGATTCGTATGGCAATAAGAGTGATTTGATTGGCTTGAAGCATGGATGCAAAGTTAATTCCAGCTTATTTCTATGTAGCCCCCCGCGTCGCCAGCGATGAACATGTGATCGGAACTAGCTCATTAAAATCCAATAAAAGCAGCTACAGTATGTCGAATGTTTTGTTTAAATGCATAACAATGTTAAACTTAAAAAAAAACATGCTTATTATTGAAAAAAAACTTAATAAGCTTGTTAAGCTAGCCCATGAGCAGCAGCACACAAAATCTTTTTGACAAAACACAAAGTTTTAAATTCTGGCAAAAAATCTTAATATGACGACCCACCAGTACTTAGTAATTTTGATGAATAGGCTATCTAAAAATTTGGAAGTAATTCCTTGATTCCTTCAGTCTGTCATACACAGTACTGTAAAAGAACCAGTAGGCTAGTTTATTTTCCAGACTCAAGCTCACACCAAATCCGCAATCACCACAACTCTTATCATTGTTATCAGGTACGTCTGTTTACAACCAGAGATAGTCATTACCTCGCTAAATGTAGGCTTACGAAGCTTACACAGAACTAACACACACAGTACAAATCAATGTTGTTATTGTCTACACCAACAAGCTAAAATCTACCCAAAGTTAGGTGGTACGAACGAGAAGTATGTGGAAGGATAGTTATCCCACAGACAATATCCTTTGATCACAGGAATTAGTTTGCGTTTGCAGTCATATCTACAGACGACACATTGCCACGAATTTTTGCCTTAACTCTCATTCTGGGATACTAAAGTAAACATCACATAAAATAGATGTCTCCTACAGGGAAGTGTATACCTTATAGTGGAATAGATTACAGAATAGTACCGGAATGTAGGAATATAGTACAGTATGAAAGATTGTAGTCACACTAGCAGAAAAAGCTGGTTCAAAGGAGCGATCGGCAAAAGTGTGCTGCTGCAGAATACATTTACAATTCCAGCACCTAAGGCTGGTTTTATGCACCGCGACAGTCGCGAGTCGCGAGTCGCGCCACGTCTTGCGGCTGACAAAAATGTCACGCGACAGCGACACTTTTTTGTCGCGTAAACTCACATCCGGTGGTGGGGGAATTAAAGAAATCAGTCTGTTCTCAATCCAATGTTGAGTGTTGTGTTTTGATGTAGGAGTGATTATTAAGTTGTTTAAATATAGACCCTGTAGTGTTGTACACTTTAATGACAAAACCCCAGTTATTTAAACAACACATAATTTACTGTTGGAATTGGGTCAACCCTCTTAAAAATGTCATTACATAATATAATGATGTAATTTCTATTACAAATAAAGAGTAAAGAACTCGAATTTATATACTAATTATTAACATTAATCAATATAAATATATGGAGAATATACCACGTGGAGTATGAAAAATACTACTGTCGCGCCGCGACTGTCGCGGTGCATAAACGTGCCCATTTGATCCAATAGAACTTGAACCGCGCGCGACACATTTTTTGAAGCTGCGATTCTAAAACCTGTCGCGGGTATTTAGAGTCGCTCCGCGGCAGTTTGTCGCTGTCGCGGTGCATAAATGCTCCCATTTAACTCAATAGAACTTGAGTCGCGCCGCGACACGCGACTGTCGCGGTGCATAAAACCGGCCTAAAGTCAACCATAAAACCGCAAATCAGTTTATCACTCCATATAATTTCATGCCTGACAAGTAGACCGTATCAGAACCACATGCTGATAACTTGAGGTTTAGGAAGGCTTATCATTGACGAAAATATAGGACAACTATAATAAAAACTTTAGTATTTCGTCAGCAAAGCCACAAGGATAAGATATATATTGATTTTGAATAGCAACCCATTGCAATTAGAAAGTAACAGTATCAATCACTAAATAAAATAGACAATATTTTGAATACTGTAGAATTAAACTACAACTACCACTGCCAGGGAATTTGTTTACGTATGAACTACGTTTACCCTACTTTAGTGTATGCAATTTTGGTAGGTGATAAAAACAACAGGTTTTCAGTCAATAATTCTAGCATATCTAATAACATTTATTATTACTATTACAGAGCTCTTAACTTGTCCTTGCAATAACAATAAAGACATATAATACAAACTATCTTTCAAATCTTTAATGTTGTTTAATCTAATAAATATTGTCACTTAATTTTGCTTTATGCGGAGCGCTCAAAATCATTTGATATTGCGCGTAACTTAACCTATTTATGTTTCAAACAGGTATTTACCTATAACTGTGTGCACTCTTTCGTCATAACCCTTAAAACTGTTAAATTGTCACTTGACGTCATACTAAAGAATGATTAACTTTCAAATAAGCAAAACTGGTTTAACCATTTCCAAGAAGTTCAACATCGCTAGAAGAAACTTTCCTCCTGTCAAATGAAAACCAAACCTCGACAAACTCAAAGTTTTGTACAACGACAAACTAAACCATTGTTACCCTTACATTAGTTGAAAACAAGTGAAACACTTACATGACAAGAGAATATCCATTTTTATATCACATTACGCGAGTACGAAACACTTCACACAACACATCTCACCCCAGCGACAACTGGAACAAAACTGATCTTCATTCTTCTTCTCTCTCGCTCCAAACCCCCCCCCCCCAACACTCCAGTCCAGTCTAGCGTTCCCTCCCCGCTCCCCGCGACACACTCCTTTCCTTCCAGAATGGTTTGCATATCAACGCTACAAACCGGTTATTTCGCCTCAAGGTGTTCAGTCTCAGAGCTAAATCTCTGTTCCGTTCCCAGACCCAGACGTTCCTCTGTCGGACCGCCCGTCCGCTGTTCCTCACTCCATCTGGCAACGTCTGAAAGCTGGAGCCTGGTTGTCACGACTCAAAAGACTTGAAATGGGGCTTCGAAAGGGTTATTTTTACAGTATATAATCATACACTGAACAGCATCTTGTCAGTGAGTTTGGAGAGTCAATACATGTTTTGTAAACTAGCTATCCAGGGGTCAAAATATAGATGTTTGACAGCTACTTTAAAAAATATCCTACAGTGAAAATATATCAATATATAAATATATAAAAAAATAATACAGTAGCCTACATTACATACGTATAACATTCACAAATTAAACTGGCAAAAGTTCTTTAAGAACTTATCATGCCAGTTACTTTGTAAAAATTTACTTAACAATCTGTAATGGAAATGAGAATAATTACCTGAAAAGGCTCCAATTCTCTAAAGAATCTCACTTGAAACATGTTTGGAGGTATTTACAAACAGCCAATAAAATACACGAAATAAATAACATCTGATTGACAATTTAAAACATAAAGTAAAGAAGAAAGGCAGAGTATAAAATATCATAACACAATCTTTCTTCTAATATATAAAATTCTCGTGTCACAGTGTTTGTCTGCAAACTCCTCCGGAACGACTTCACCGATCGTTATGAAATTTGGTGTGTAAATTCTGTAGGTATGCGAATCGGACGTAAACTATTTCCCGTTTCGAAATTCTTAAAAGGGCTCCGCCCCAGTGGCTCTGGAGTTTCCCATGTTAACCTTATGAGAAATGGAATTAATGAATCTTAACAGCTGTTTCAATTAAACAAGTTGGTTCTGTCCTATGATGTTCAATAGCATTAAAGTTACAAGGATTACCAAAAGGGTGCAGCACTATTATTTCTTTAACATTTATGACAACAGCTAATTTGCAACCAAAAGGTGAGTGAGCGTAGCGAACGAACTTCAACCTGGAGGCGAGTGAGCGTAGCGAACGAGCTAACCTGAAGGCAAGTGAGCGCAGCGAACGAGCTCCAACCTAAAGGTGAGTGAGCGTAGCGAACGAGCTCCAACCCAAAGGTGAGTGAGCGTAGCGAACGAACTTCAACCAGGACGTGATTGAGCGATGCGAACGAGATCATCTTGAAAATTAAACGTAACGGTAGGCCTACTTTCTTTCCATCGGTCTGTCTTAGGGGAAACCTATAACTTAGGCGATACGAAGTTCGCCGTGTCAGCTAGTCATTATACAAAGTCGGTTTTAGTCAACGTTGTGTGATTTATTTAACTCTCCTTGATGTCATATAAAATCGAAAAATGTACACTGTGCGCTTTATTTTTTGGAATACTAGAGCGCAACGAGTATTCGACAAGATCGTAATATATTACTAATTTTTTATCGTAATAATTTTAAAGTTAGTACAATAAAAGAGAAAATATTCACGCACCCCAGCGGTACCGGATTCGGACATAAAATCCGTTAAATTGTCCATAAGGATGATAAAACCATAAATAAGTATGTTTGCTCAGGGTTAATATCAACTAGACAATTTCCCATAGCAATCACACTTGACAAACACATTACCTTGGTTTAATCGCAAATCAACTAAAAACTTAACCGCAACAATTGTCTGCAGCGATTGGGGGTATAACAATTCAGTTTTATAGCTCAGTATGCTTCTAAAACATTTAGAACCTCTGTAACTGCCTACAAGATGGGTTATTGTTATTGCGAGATATAAGTGCTGTGGCACTAGAAACTGTGCCTCATTTTAGCAATCACCTCAAGTGGTTGTATCTTATTTTTGACAAAATAAGTTTAGTACTACCAGCATTGAATAAACCCTTGTTTTTATACCAAGGGTTATTATCAGAAATCAGAAACATTTATTGCCGAAAACATTACAAAAATGTATAGGCCATCGTCAGGTACAATTTCATTATCATTATCATTATATCATTATCATTACTTTATAGCAAAGCGCACTAAGGTACGTATTTTAAGCTGACTTTGAATGCAAGTTCAGTGTAAAATTAGGAAGATTCTGTGTGGCTTTGTTATTGTTTAAAATCAGCTGTTTTATAAACCATAGTCATTTATTTAAAGCCCAACAAAGGAACAGCTGGGTTGATTTTCTAACCATCGAAGCTTTAACTTTTTCGGGGTCAACCCGGCAACCTTTTTACTGTACTATATACACTCATTTAATAGTGCATTCTATTTTCACTCTATTTATGATGAACAGAAACATAGCAAAGTGTTTATCATTATTACTCCCTATTATTATCATTCCTCTTGTGTCTATCATGGATTATAACATTGACTATGGATACTAAGGATACTGAAGCAGACATCCCATCTATATGGACCAGCTGTAGCCAATTTTTTTAAAGAATGTAGTTGTGTACACCAGTCACAGAATGCAATAATCACTCAAATTAATTAATTTAGCAGTAGTTGAATTGGTTATCTCCACTACAAGCTTGGATTAATTCATTGATATTAATAATTTTTGTTGAACAATAACCGATTTAATCCCGTCTACATAATTTCATTCCAAACAGTTTTTCCTGTTTATTCACGTCTGTGTTGAAATTCACCTTACTATGATGTATCGCCATTTATGATGTATCGTCCGATTTATTCTTCTGTGTAGTTAATCAAGCGACAAACCGCAAATAAATAAGTGAAATCGACCGAATCAGCGCGTGTTGAGGTTAAGTTTTTACCAAACTGACTTACCACAATTGTTCCGACAAACTCATGTAGATGTTGACTTATCTGCATAAAAAAGAAATAATTTATATCCACAGAAGAAAGAGCAGCGTTTACACTGTGATGAAATAACGTAATTGTTTTATTTTATAGGATAGTTGCTAAAAATGAATTAAGGTAGGATAATACACGTGGAGCATTAAAGTAGTCATAATATTCTATTTGGTTGTTCATTTGGTTGGATGCCATAACAGAATAGGGAAATAGCCTCTGTTTCACTCCGTGATTACATTATAGCAAGCAATACAAGCTTATGTAGGAATACATATTGATTTCGTTAAATGCTAAAATTCAGACTTGCGACTAATTTCATTGCAACATAATCATACAATACACCTTTCTTCTTTTTAGTCTTAAAATATCTTGTGTAGCGGATTCCACATACGAAGGAATAAGCTATTACCGTAGGTTTGATGGTAAGACGTAGACCCGGGACCGATTAAAACATTTATTGCCTTGCCTGTAGCAGCAAACATATGTACTCGTTGATCTATTTTTTTACATATGATGTTTTAAGGAGATATTTCAGTGAAAATTCAACCAGGCAAATCGAAGTTCTCTTAGTCTACGGATTTGCTGCGATTGAGGTATTATTTATCTTAACCTTACATGCAAATCAATAGTACATAATTCATACGAAAACTAAATAAAAACAATAAATTCAACTCACATGAAACATCTGAACAGTACAACCTTTTCTTTGATAACTTATCAGCTAAAATTTGTATGAAAGGTGTCACTAACGTTGATACTTAACTATTAAAGTAAAAAAAAAACTCATTGATGATTTCAATGTTAATGTTCTAATACAGTATCAAACTCAGAATTCCAAAAAGTATTGTAGATATCAGGGGACTATTTTTACACAAGTTTTATTATAGATATTTTGTTTTAATGTATCGACTAAGACAAAAAATGTGGGTATTTACGTTTATTACGTTTTTTTTTTTACTTCTGTAGTAGGCCTAATGTTGTGTCAATCCAATTTTACCTACTCCACATTCATTATTTACGTACTTAAATACAAATTAAACATAAAACGGATCTATTAATAACTTTTAATTGATAATTGAGACTCTACTTTTATAGGGTAGGGATAAATTAAATCGTCATATATTGATTAAATATTACCATCGACGTACAAAGTCGAAATATATACATTAGACTATATACATCGATAAACAGTTAGAGAGAAACGACGTTTTTCTGGTTATGAAAAAAAAATTGGAAAGTAGCAAATAGAAAGGCAAAAACTCCATGACGAAAGCAGTTCCATATCCGATATAAATTATGTATTTCTATCGGAATACTGTATTTAGAGTAGGTAGGGATGAATATCAGAACGTCTGACAGTTTGTAAAGATTTTATTTACAGGTCCTATCTATATAAACAAGGTCTAGCCAGTTATTTTAAATTCTAAAAATAACATTGTTTCTCATAACGTGTATTACTACTGAAGTTATGTTTTCTCATTTATTATGAATACTATCATATTATTTAAAGGACACATGTAAATAGTGTAGTTTACAACAAAAGGTTTCCCTTTAAGTTTGAAACGATTAAAAAAGTTGAGTACAGTATTAAAGTTAATTCACAACAGCACACGCTGTCGGTGCCAATTGAACTATGTATTTATTTTAACTGGCTTCAACTTAAACATGGAAATTTAATGTTTACTTCAGTGTACATAAAATATACATTTTCATTTCAATTATCAATTACCAGTTACTGTAGTTAAGATTAGGACGCCACCTAGATGCGTATTTTAATCCGAATATGAGTGAAGAATGAGTGCAAAATGGCGTGAGATGCCTTGTGTAGTATTGTTAACCAGCTGTTTCATTAGCTAGAATCGTATATTTAAAGCCCAATAATCAACGACAGCTGGGTCCAGTTTCGAACTACCAAAAAGTTACGAAATTTACTCAGGATCGAGAGGGTGACCTTAGATTGATAGGTGAGCACTGTAACCACTCAGCTACCCAACCAATTTAAAGTGTTTAGTCACTTAACCTAACCTATGGTGTGACCGGTATAACCATAGATTAAAACAAGT